AAACTGCTATACTAGGCAATCCTACTCCTATCAAACTCAGTGAAATTGATAAGTACCAGCTGTGGCTTGACTGAGGAAGTGTAAACATTACCAAATTTTCAGAACAATTGGCAAACACTGATATTGACATACTAATTATTCTATCATTCAATAAGGACTCCAAGCAGAGAAAAATAATTTGAGAAGTATCTCTTTAGAATGCTTGGATAAAATAAACAACAGCTAAACGATAGGAAGAAATGAGAGCAAAGTGATTTTATTTACTGGATCAAAACAAAATTCAAGACTACAGTGAGAGAAGTTACTTCTGCTTGTTGCTGCTGTATCAAAGGAAAACAACCCAACAGCTGCTCCTTCAGGAAGAAAAATCTTGCTAATCCTCCACACAGCCAGACTTAACATGGTGTTTCACTCATTTTTTATGGTCTATACATTTCAGTTGGAGGTGCTGTAGCGAGAACTACTTGGCACTGTCCATGCTGAAGGGGGAGGACAAACATAAAGCACTAAACCAACCATTCCTACTCACCCTGGAGGCAATCCTTCTGGCATTCCTGCGAATCAGACACATTCAAAGCAAAACTAATATTTATAATCTGGCTGCAGCACTGTACTTGAGGCCTTTCCATCTAAGCCCTAAGTTTCAGACAGAATAATTTCTCAAACACTGACTAAGGCCAGTGCAGTCAGTGTTGGGAAAGAGGGAAAAGGCTGCAGCACAGGAAATCTCTGTATCTTTCCCTTAGCCTGAGGGAGGAGGACAATACACCTCCTCCACACAAATGTTTATGCCAGTACAGAGTAATAGCTTCTCTTTAGCATGCCAGGTTGTATCAGAAGACATAACCAACAGCAAAGGGCATGATAAGAGATGAAAGGGAACTCATCAGAGGAAGAGAGAGAGAAAGAGAGACTTTAGTCATGGGTGAAAAGGCAAGTAGATCTATGGAGTCCTTCTGTCAAACTGTACTGTATATTGGTTGTGACTTCCTAAATAAGAGATCTTGGAGCTACAGTTGAAAGTTCAGTGGAATTCCATCCAATGCATGGCAGCAATGAAAAAGGTATAAGACTTAGAATATCTGATAGCTTTTATGATATGTTAATTGATCTGCTTTGCCTCGCATAACGAGCGCACCGTTTAACGACGAATCCGCATAGCAATCTATTTTTTGCGATCACTAATGCGATTGCATTGCGATGTTTTGAATGTGAAAACATCGCATTGCGATGACTGGTAAGCGTTTCGCATTGCGATGTTTTTAGAACAGCTGATCGGCGGTTCCAAAATGGCCGCCGGGTGCCCAAAATGGCCACCGCACGCATTTTCGCGCGGTTTCCTCGCTTACCGAGGCAGCGAAAATGGCGGCACTATGGAGGCTCTTCGCTGAACTGTGAGTTTTCGCGCCATAGGAATGCATTAAACGAAGTTTAATGCGTTCCTATGGGGTTTTTAGTTCCGTTTAGCAATGTTTCCGGATAGCGACGATTAATCCGGAACGGATTAACGTCGCTATGCGGGGCACCACTGTATTTGGGAAAAGGAAATACTGGAAATTAAGGAGAAAAATAGTAGAGAGCTTTATACTCTTGTACAGAAATGGGACAAAAAATTCTGCCAGTTTTATATTATTACAGTTCCTCTTACCAATGGCAGGAGGTTAAGCATTTCTTCATACCTATGCAAAGTAATGTATCAAACTAATCAAGATGTGTTCCTGGCCACCAGCATAAACACATTCATGGAGAAAGGTACTTAAAAACCAATGAGATGTGACAATCACACATCTATTAAATACTCATACAGTAACCAGAATCCTGTTGGCGATATATGCATGTGTTAGTTAAATCACATAATCCACAGTGGTGAATTGCTGCTCATGAATGTTGCATTACGAGAAGAGTGCTTGCTTGTGCAACAGACGTGAACCTACTCAGGCTACACCTTTTTACTTAGCCATTGCAGTGAGTGGGGATGGGATTTTCAGACTGATCAGACTATAAATCTCATCACCTAAATGTGGCTCATTTGGGAGGAAAGGCCTGAAGTGCACGTTTTTAAAAAAATACATTTATTATTTTTGAGACATACATACATGCATACAGAACAAGCAAAAACCTACAAGATAATCAAGAGCACATAAGACCAACAAAACATATAAGCGGGGCGGTATTTCCCATACCAACTTATCCATTATGTAATTTCTGACTACAGCAGATCGTATGCCTTATTCCCATACTAATTATTTATTTATTTATTTATTTATTTATTTATTTATTTATTTATTTATTTATTTATTTATTTATT